TTTGCTTTTGCTTTCTTCCAGAGCCTGAGTTTACGTGTAATCCGTGTTACTGATTATTATGGTGCGCAGTTTATTGTTTCCTGCCACTCGTTATTTTAGACAAGTACAGACGTGTAATGGCAAACTACTATACGTAAATTTGCTTAGAAAAATCACACAACAGCCAGGGGCTGCTGGGGTTGGTTCTGCAAAGTCCTGTAAAGGATACGCAACTAACCTAACAGACATATAAGTATCTAGGCACATGGATAATATCCCATGAAAGTTGTGTCTCACAGACGAAAAATAGAATATGACAGACGAAAAATGCATTTTATAAAAATGAAGAAAATGGTATGCAATAAATCCATATCATTGGAGGTTAGGAGATGAATTTTCGCGTGCTATTTAGAGCCAGTATTAACATATGGCTGGTAATCCTGTTAATAAACAAGCCAACCCAATTACTGAGCCCTCGGAAATGTGGTTGTAAAGAAGAATCCTTAGAATGCATTGGACAGCCAACAAGAGCAGTCTATATGTTTTGATAGAGGCGGGAGTTCGAAGACAACTTTTTACAAACATCAGAAAGAGACAGTCCTCATGTTTGGTCATGCTATGACAAGAAGGCAACTGAACATGCTGTGACCCCACGGCAGTGGCTTAACAGGGTCATGGGGTTACCCGGTGCGGAAATCCTCTACCCCACTCTTAACATGGTATAAATCTATTGTTTTAATTTTAATATGTTCTTGCCATTTCGTCTCCAGCGGCCTGCTTCTTATATGTTTTATTTTAAAAACACGTATTTTCGCAATTTTGTCACCCCCTCCCCCTTTTATTTGGCCCCACACTGACACCCGATGGGGCCCCGACCCCCTTCCTACACCACTGACTACTGGAAAGATCTATAGAAAAAATAGACAGAGGAAGGCAAGGCGAGACGAATTTTGACAGCCTGTTATCATGGCACGAAGGGCTATCGACACAAGAACTGATGCGCATATTAAAGGGAGGTATGATCGCCCATGCCAATCGACAAGGCACTTAATTATGACTTTTTTTTTTTAATTTCACTTGAAGCTTGTTGAAGCTGAAATATTTTGGCCACATCAAATGCTACTTCGAATGGGGGGGGGGGGTAATAGCAGAAGGTGTTTTACCAAGAAGGAGGGGCAGACTTAGTAGTATTTTTTGTTCAGGCAGACTGTGATAGGAGCGACATTTTGCAAAGGACCTTCTGTGGGTCGCGACCCTTCTGTGGGTCGAACGACCCTTCCAAAGGGGTCGAAAAAGACCATCCGGAAACACATATTCACTGAAGTTATTAAACAGAACGAAAAAAAATGAATGGTAGGGGGTCGCCACAACACAGACCTAAGGTTAGTTGCGCTGCAGAACCAATCCCAACAGCTCCTGGCTGTTGTGTGGTTTCTTTTCACGTCCAGTAGTTTGCCATTGCTTTCTGGATGGCAGGCTTTCTTTCTACCACTGTCGAAACCGACGCAAGGCGCATAGCCCGCAGCTGGGATCGAACCCGGCATCCCCGCATTACGAAGTGTTCGCATCGACTTAGCCACAGAGCCGACCGTCGCCACATAAGGAACTATATTAAACGGTTGCCGTATTAGGAAGGTTGAGAACCAGTTATAATGATGATAATGATGAAGCTTGTTGCCGGTCAAGAACGCATTACTTCTGGTGCATGTACATGAGAGAGATACATGTACAGAAAGAGGGAAAGATGGTAGGGGCGAGGAAAAGAAGAAGCAGACTGAAACCGTATTCAAACTCCTACATACTAACAGGTCAATGCACTTTTAGAGATTCAAGCATTTTCCCGCAACAAATGGTAACGATAATCTTACTGGCTAAAAATATATCAGTTATTGTAATATTACAAATATAAATATATACGTAACTACATTATAACTTACTAATTTAAAAATTAGGAAGTAATAAAAGCTGTAATACTTTTGAATAAATAATTTATTTGAAATATTTAAAATTTAGCCAATTATTTTTCGATTAATCAGTAGGCTGACGGACCTGTGTTCTGACGTCACCAGTCAGTGCGGAATAGTATTTGGAAAAGCGAGCATGTAGATGTCTGAAGTTGGTCGCCCACTTGGTTTCTTGCTTGATTCTGTCGCAATGCTCAAATAGTCTTTCGCTTACAGGACGTATCACGGTAAGAAGATATATTTTGTATATGTTATACATCTGTTTATTTTATAATAATTGTGATTAGTCGCAGTAAAAGCCGTTTACATTGATGAGCCTTAGCCTTATGAAAATAATTGGGACTCGTTTCGTTTTTTGGTCGTCGGCTCTACTGCCTGTGCTTGTTGCTTCATCTACCTGTAACGTTTCAGTTTGTCAGTAAGTTTTACTAATTCATTTGTGATGTTGTGTAAGTAGAAAAATGTATACTAATTCCTTGCGAATTAGGTGAAAATGTAGTTTTTGTTTCATGTCTGTGTTGAAAGAAAAAGAGAAGTAATATTCGGGTATTCTGAAATCCAGCTGATTTGTGTTTTTCGACTGTTGACCCAGTTTTGTAAAGTATCCTGCAATAAATACGGATCTTGGAGAACATTAACGTGAGAAGCAGCGGCGTACTTTGAACAAGGTTCTATCCAACGTGTGTCAGATTTATTAGGTTTCTTTTGTGTACAGAGAGGCTAGAAATTGTGAAGCAAGAAGAGCATTTTCCTTGTATCGATTTTTCGCTCTTGGCCGAGTTTAAAAACTTGGTAGTGGCGCGGCCAGTGCTTGCCGTCCGTACGCCACCTACGTTTGTTGGCGTGATGGGAGCGCATGGACGCCTGTGGGAGGGGGAGACTGGCAGTTTCAATTAGATCAGCATTTCGGCTGCCATGGCTACAGACTACAGCGAAATAGATTTCTTGTAACTGAAACTAGGCCTTTCTGTCCTGTCCCATATATATATATATATATATATATATATATATATATATATATATATATATATATATATATATATATTATAATGATAATGATAAAATAAAAGTAATCAATTACGCATGTGGTTCATAAACGGGAAATATACTTTTTAGTCAACTTTTAGTTTCACTTATCATTATCTCACTTAGCTTTTAATTACTATTATCCCCCCCCCCCCCCCCCCCAATATTTAGTGGGAAATGGACATGTTGAAAGTGAAGATAAAACTTCTTACAAAAACCTATTTGGTTTATATAATGACCAGAAGAGTGAAAGACTTGAGAGAGCAGAAACACACCAACCTAGTTGATGCAATGGTTAAAATAAATTGAAAAGGATTTTTGTTTTTGGAAAAAGTAAGCTTTCTTAGAATTGAAGAATCATTCAATGTTTCTCCTCCTAGCAGTAAGCGGTGGAGTTTTAATTTGTGTGATTGTCATATTTTTTACAAGTTTGAGTTTGCACAAGGATGAAGTCTGCAAGTATGGAGCAAAAATGGAAACTAGTTATAGACAAGCAAGATTTATTAGCCATATTATTGTGAAGATAAATAATTTCCCTAACTTTAATATTTAATTAATGGGAACCGAACGTAATGACCACCGGGACCTGGGGGTCTTGTTCATTCAGTTGGCATAGTTTAACAGAACAGAGCACACAACATTTGAAACTTGAGATTGTGAATTATAATTACCAAGTCCAATGCTTATTATTGACGTTGCACATACATATTAATGAGGATCGGGAGACAAGAATATCTTCTAACAAATTCCTGTTTCTGCCATGCAGCCCTAATCTCTCAAGCTAAGATGTCCTAAACAAAATCATAAAAGTAGACAAAGGGGCAGTAAATTTCATGTATACATTTGCCAGTTATAAGTTATTTCTGTTTAGGTTATGGGCTCCATTTTGGAGAGAAAAAAATAGGACACACTGTTCCCCTAAAAAAGCATGTTGTAGGATAAGACTAATTGAGGAATTAAGGGTGTTTCCTTCAAAGTGCATCTGCCTGCAAGGCAAGGAACCAGCAGTATGCATACAAAAGTCAGATGAACGTAGATTGTTCATGGTTATCTTTTTTACATTCAGTTATGCTTCCACTGATCCAACTCAAAACTTAGATCATTCATGGTTATCTTTTTACATTCAGTTATGCTTCCACCGATCCACCTCATTACGTAGATCATTCATGGTTATCTTTTTTACATTCAGTTATGCTTCCACTGATCCACCTCATTACGTAGATCATTCATGGTTATCTTTTTTACATTCAGTTATGCTTCCACTGATCCACCTCATAACGTAGATCATTCATGGTTATCTTTTTTACATTCAGTTATGCTTTCACTGATCCACCTCATAACGTAGATCGTTTATGGTTATCTTTTTTACATTCAGTTATGCTTTCACTGATCCACCTCATAACGTAGATCGTTTATGGTTATCTTTTTTACATTCAGTTATGCTTCCACTGATCCACCTCATAACGTAGATCATTTATGGTTATCTTTTTACATTCAGTTATGCTTCCACCGATCCACCTCATTACGTAGATCGTTTATGGTTATCTTTTTTACATTCAGTTATGCTTCCACTGATCCACGTCAGTACGTAGATCGTTCATGGTTATCTTTTTATATTGTTATATCTTTTAGTCAGTTTCTGTGGCAAATGCACTCATAATTCTGGGGTACCTGGTTTGATTCCAGATGCAGGCAATTTAGCAGCAGACCATCTTGCATTGATTTCAACAGGGACATCAAGAGCTAATTGTTCAAAAAATAGTGCACATAAAAAATGATTTAGTAAAACTAAAATAGTAGCAAATCCTGGGGTTGGTTGTGCAACATCCAAGGGTGATCGTCATGATATTGATCACATGGCCGAAAGTACAATTTCTTATATGGGATAAGCATTATATCATAAAATTGCCTCTGACGGTGGAAATGGATCCTTCTTTACAGTTCTTGAAATGCACTGTCTTAAATTACATTGTTGCTTTACTTTACATGTCACTAGCACTGATTTTACTTTGTCATTTTTTTTTTAGCATTATGCCACCCATGGCGACATCGTCTGCAAAACGCAAGTGGTCTGATGTCTTTGAGGAGACAGAAGTCTATGACAAGCAGTCTATTATGGATCTGTGTGCTTCTAAGTTGCGCTATGTAAATCCACCTCGACCACCACGAAGGCGAACAGAGGTTTCGCTGCTGCGCAATGTTTTGATTGTGAATACAGTAAAGCATTTGTCTTCAGACACTAGGACAGACAGCCAGATGGAGCTCAGCACTGAAGACCTTAGCATTGACCCCGGCCACTTTGAAGGTCTGCCCCCTCTGTCTGAGCTACTTAATGACATTATGTTAGATCCTCAACCAAATGATCCAGCCAGTTCATTTACATGGACAGCTGTAGACGGCTGCCCTGTCCAGACACCACAAGGATCAGACATGAGCCCATACATGGAAACTGCAGATGAAGCCGCTGGAATTAGTGAAAACAAAGTTGTTTATGATCTTCTGCCTTCAACTTGCGGAATTGAAGCAGATGCCTCACACCAATCACAGCAGTGGGGCATACCAAACAGTCACAGTCAGGACAATTTTTCATGGGAACTGCCCTGTACCTCAGATCAGCAGTCATCGTGGGAATCTCCATGTGATTCTAGTATGTTAGATTGTTTATTATCCAGTGCCTCCATTCATCAGCCTTCAAATGATTCTCTGGATGTTTTGATGACTGATCGAGCATTCCAGCCAACCAATGGTCCCTTACCTTCGATCAGTTCGCTGTTTGAGTCCTCCCGCAAGACATCTTTACCAGGCCTGTTAGAATCTTCATCTTTGCCTGGAGTTTCATCCTTTAGTAGTGGCACACAACCATCACACACACCAGCAGTGAGCACCACACAAACAGATGACTTGCTAGGTAACGTCAACCTGACCGACTCCGAACTGGAGCTCCTTGCCATGACATTCTCCTCAAAACTGCCTGCATCTTTTGAAGATCTTGTACTGGCTTTACCTCAAACAGCTTTGCTGCAACAAGTTTCTCAACCGTCACACACATTCTGTATGCCTTCCTCGGTACAGAGCACCATTGGAGTATATAACGATACTCATTCTTCATCTAGTAACCAGTGTGCAAGTTTCTGTCAGCCTGCTCCTAGTTTAGATGACAGCGGCATGGTACGAGTTTTAGTCAACCTCTGATTACCATAAGCATAATCTTAAGAACGCTTGAAGACCTTGGATACACTAAACAGTACTATCATGTTGTAGAATGACTGTTTGCAGGAGCTTTATTTTAGAAAAGATGTTTAAACAAGTAGCATGGTTGACATGACAATTATAGGGTCTAGCACCAAATTCTGCAGAGAGGGAAAGTAAAACGTAGGCGAGGGGAACAAGCAGATCCTTGTAGCGCTATTTTTTTTGTAGCATTGAAGCCTTATGTAATAACACTGGAGCTGAGATCTGTATGTCAGATTTTTATTTGCATTTTATGTGATAAGTTATAACATTTGTGACACTTTTTGTGGTTGTAATTTATTACCAGCATTGAGAGTTGAGTGTGTGAACAAGTGTTGAGGTGCACAGTGCTGCTCTATTACATAAATATTTTTTTTAAGTTGGAAAGTGACAAAACACCTTCTCTAGATTATATGTTGTATTGTGCATGCGAGTTGCTTGTAAAAAGAAAAGTTGGGGTAAAAGTAAAGGCCTTGTGTATGTTCCATGAAAAATAGCACTTTTCCGTGGAAGGGGAATAAGGTGTAGGCTGTAGTTGCAGTACCTCACCTATATGTATTTAGTAAATTATTAGTGACTCGTGGCTGGTGAGGTAGTTTACATAATGTACCAGAACATTAGCACAAACATTCCAGATTTGTTTATCCTTCCCATATTTAGTGAAAAGTTTCATGGCGTATACAACCTTGTGTAGGTACATGTTTTGTGTAATTGAAAGTGAGCATAGGATGTTTTTTTTTTTTTTTTTTTTAAACCACAGTCAAATGCCACTTGTTATTAAGACTGTTTGTTTGTTTTATAAGTATCACATTTGGACAGATTTATTATTGACAGTGAATGTCCTGATCCTTTTTACAGATGTTACCCGTGTTTTGATAAGTTTGTCTGCACTAAAAGCTGAAGCGTGTCTTGCTTATTGACTTCGATACAGTTACACCTTGTCTTGGTCCCTTAACTGCAGTACAGATTGTTAACATGTCTTGACCAATTGGATTGAATAAGTTTTGTCAACAAATGTACTGGCAGTTATTCTGACCATTTAGTGGTTGATGAACAAGGCTGGTTTCACTGAAATATCATGCTACGGGTGTGAATATTTCAAGTGTAGCTGTTAAGTTAAAATGCAGTCAAAGCTGGAAATACTGTACCAGATACTGTTCTTCAGACTGTGATTGTTTTTCCTTCACTGCTGACCACAGAGAATCAACGCAGCACGCAACGTTTGATGGTCTTCTACGTTGTTGTTTTGTACGTTAATGTCATGTCTTGTATCACATTCAGATTTTGGTATAGTAGTTGTTAATTATGGTTTTATAAAAATATGTTTTATGCCTGTTAGTACGACGTGGAAATATTTATAGAGCAATTGTAAATGTTTATCAGAGGAAGTGTTGTGTTCGGGTGTTTTTATTGGAAGCTGTCTCACAATTACATAACATCAGTGTATTTAGTTTGGACATCTTTTAAGTCAAAATGCGTAAGGCTAGACTGAGCATTATGCAGTAAGTCAGAGAAGTCAGAATAAACTAACTCAGAGCTTTGCCATCAGCCGCTGCACATTAAGGGATTTCAGCACTTTTTTTTTTAAAGGTAACTTCTGAAGGTATATGATTACTGTGGATGTTAGGTCACTTGAGAAAATGTGTTTATAGTTACAGCTGCTGTTTAAGTGGCAACTGATGTGAATGCTGCCAACAAGATGTAAATGCTAAGTTTTGTCCCAACAATAGCAGTGTCTGGGTGTTTGCATTTGACTTTTTTTTTTTGCCTGCGTTTACCTGCTTTGTAAATTCCATATTGCAATAAAGATGTTTTGCATTTTTAAATGAATGTAATTAAACATAAATGTAATAAAGGAATTACGTTGTAAAGTTTGTTTTTCTTCTCTATGCTGAAACTTAATTTTCAGTATGTACCATGTTTTTGGTCAGCACTATATTTTGATATTGTGCGATTGATATAAAGATGACTTAAAAGGTTTCAGAAAGCCTTCCCCCCCCCCCCCCCCCCCCTCTTCCCAAAGTTTAAATAACTTGAAACTCTTCAGCCTCAGGTTGAAGTCACTGTTTTAAACCACATAACATCTTAGAATGTTTATCTTGTGAGTTTCGGCTGTTGCTATGCACAAAACATTGCCCTAATATATTTTTTGCTGTTGTGATTATTTTTGTTGAAAGGCGTTGCTAGAATAAGTGTAGCTAACACAAGATCTACTCCTCTGATGTTCTATTGCAATAATGATAACACTTGTTGAAAAGGTTTCTGAAATAAATCTAGCCAACACAGTCTTGTACCTTTCTGACATTGTGTTGCTATGATGATTACACTTGAAAAGGAGGTTGCTAAAATAATTGTAGCTAACATGCAATCTTCTCTTCTGATATTATTGCTAATACCTTTTTTTTTTTTGTCATTAGGGCAAAGACCTACATGCCAGATCTTGCACCTTTTGGTTAGTGGTTGGATTTTGTACCTACAGTTTTACCAACCATCCCTAGCTACCACTTATTACATGCATTATACGCTAATGTTACTGTTGGTTCCTTGATGTGCCCTAAAAGCATTCAATTGCTGCAGTGTTTACATTCACATTTTGTTTTTTATGAGGAAGAAAAGAATGTTGTTTTGCCAGGCAGATGATCTGTTTCATATAAACTCTAGGAAACTTTTTATTTATATTTCAATTCTAAATGTAAAATATGAGTATATTAGAAATACTGTCTCTTTTACCAGCATATTTTGCAACTACATTGACTCTCAAACATTTGTGCAGACTGGCATCTCTCACGATCCATTACTCCAAGACGTGTTTCTGATTTATATTACTTGTACATCAGCACATTTTCAAATAGCATCATGTTGTATGTTTTATTGTTTTATTTCTAATTTCACACCTATTTTGTTTATTATTATTGTTATCAGATGTTTCAGAAAGAGAATAAAGTCTAGGTTTTTCTGTGTGTATCCATATTCTAGGGCTTGAGTGGTCTCGGGGCATGGCGTCCGCTGTGAGTGCTAGAGGTCCTGGGGGCCCTGGGGAAGGCTGGGATTTTATCACGTGTACTTCTAGTAATTTACCCTGGTCGCTGAGTAGTAAAATACCTGTGTGTATTGTTGCCCATGTAAAAAAAATGCATTGGCAGTTGGAAATATAAAGAGTAGCCTAAAGGCGCTTCCTGCAAAATTTGGAGTAAGAAATCTACCCAAAGTATTTCAGGATCCTCGCCGGTGCTACAGAGTTAATGCACTGTGCTAAGATTCTTCGCACTCGGGCTTGAGTTAGAAGTAGGACGGAGCACTTACTACCCTTGTGCCATGATGTTGATCCGTTGTATGAAACAAAACTAGAATCATTTTTAAATAATGCTGCGGGAGGTCATAAAAGAAAAAATACAGCACAGAGCCAATACTAAATTATATACAAAAACAGCAAATCAAATGTCCACTTAAAATGTCCTGTGACACCATACCATACAGGGCAGACACCAGAATCAAAGGATCTAAAGCACAAGGTAAACCAAGAACAGTTTAGAGATTTTACCGAACAATGCGTCTTAAGATCAAGGCAACCATAAGAACAAAAAGCTGAATCTTGTGTCTCCCTCGACACCCGAGGCGGTAAAAGAGGTAGTAAAGAAGGCCCATATTTAATATATTGATAGCTCCATGTTTTATTTTTATTGAATGTCTTCTCACCGCAAAGCAATTTTGTTATAGGTGCCTCGGAGAAGTGATAAAGTGGTTAGCCTAAAGCTCTGAAGGTTTTAGGTTTGATTCGTAATGGGTGTTTCAGAGGTCTCAATGAGTCATTGCTGAAGCTGTGAAGTTGGTACCTTGTTCACTGCTCTTAAGGCAGACAGCTCTTTTGCAGAAGGAGACAACCATTGAACCTGGAGCAATGAAGTTGGTCATCTGGCCTTCAAATTGTTTAAAAAGAAAAAAAAGTATATATATTTTTTCTTTCGCCTTTAACATTTCTTAACCAGTCCATTTGTGGACCATTTTAAAATAGTCCGATATATCCTACCTTACCCATAGGGTTCCAGAGCCTCATTTTAAATAGCAGCACTGCTCCCAAACAAGTTTTTTGTAACATTGGACTGTTTTTGGTTTTTTTTAAGTTGGATTGCATCTGCCTGGGGGGTCAGGAACCAATAGTCTGCGTACAGATAGCCAGACCTGTAAAAAGAATGTAATATACATCAAGAGCTTGGCTTATTTAAAAAAAAAAAAAAATACAGAGTATCTATTAAGACCAACATTTGTTTTTTTTGTTGAGACTTGTGAATATTTTCTCTATATGATATGCAACCTTTAATACATTTGAATGGTAAATGTTGTTCTTCAACTGCAGTTTTCTTGCTGTGACATGTAAATTAACTATGGCTGTGGTCTCAGCAGGGTTTGTTTAGTGAGTTCATATGCTCTTTCTGATGTTATTTTCTGCTGTTTTACAAATCTTGAAGTGTTGACCAACTTCGTTGTTGACTACAGCATTGTTCGGTTTATATAAAATTACCTGCTCTTGTGTGTTGATCTTGTCAGTAGGTGCACAGGTGGTGTGCATCATTTTATTGACATTCCATGACTTTTATGTGCAGTTAATTAAATTGTTTTGTTGGAGGTTGTAGTTGGTTAGTTGGACACTGTGCTAGCTTGATGGAGTCTACATGTAGATTTAGTTAAACAGTGTTCTAGCTCGAAGTAGTCTCAGTGGGGGGGGGGGGGGGGATATGATTATGTTGGACACTATTCTAGCTTAATTGGACACACATTCTATGAAGTCTTCAGAGGGGGGGGGGGGGGGGGGGGTTAATTTGGACACTGTTCTGGCTTGGTCTTCAAGTCCCTGGGGGGAATTTAGTTAGTTTTCCCTGTGTAGATTTAGTTTTCCATCCACCCCTCACACCCCCGGATGTCACGAAACAGTCCACAATTTTATAGGCTGGTAAGAGCTGATG